ACCAAAAAATTTATACTTGGGGCTGCCTTGCATGCCCAAACATAATATACTCTGGGGCTGCCTGGTATGACCACGTAGTATACTCTGGCGTGCCTAGTATGCCCAAATAATATACTTTGGGGGCCTGGTATGACCAATAATATACTCTGGGGGGCTGGCCTGGTATGACCACATATTCTCTGGGGCTTACCTGGTATGACCACATATATACTCTGGGGCTGCCTGGTATGACCACATAATATACTCTGGGGCTGCCTGGTAGGGACCACATAATATATCTGGGGCTGCCTGGTATGAACACACAATATACTCTTGGGCTGCCTTGTATGACCACTTAATATACTCTGGGGCTACGTGGTATGACCATATAATATACTCTGGGGCTGCCTGGTATGACCACACAATATACTCTGGGGCTGCCTGGTATGACCATACAATATACTCTTGGGCTGCCTGGTATGACCACATAATATACTCTGGGACTGCCTGATATGACTACATAATATACTCTTGGGCTGCCTGGTATGACCACATAGTGTACTCTGGGGCTGCCTGGTATGACCACATAATATACTCTGGGGCTACCTGGTATGACCACATAATATACTCTGGGGCTACCTGGTATGAACACATAATATACTCTGGGGCTGCCTGGTATGACCACATAATATACTCTGGGGCTGCCTGGAATGACCACATAAGAAACTCTGGGGCTGCCTGGTATGACCAAAATAAATACTTGGGAATTTGCCTGGTATTACCTGGAGTTTACCTGGAGAGAGTTCCGGGGGTCAACGCCCTGGCGGCCCGGTCTGTGACTAGGCCTCCTGGTGGATCAGAGCCTGATCAACGAGGCTGTTACTGCTGGCTGCACGCAAACCAACGTACGAGCCACAGCCCGGCTTGGTCGGAACCAAACTTTAGGTGCTTGTCCAGTGCCAGTTTGAAGACTGCCAGGGGTTTTGTTTGTAATCCCCCTTTTATGTATGCTGGTAGGCAGTTGAACGGTCTCGCGCCCCTGACACTTATTGTATGGTCTCTTAACGTGCTAGTGACCGCATAAAATACTCTGGGGCTGCCTGGTATGACCACTTCATATACTGGAAATATAAACACATATGCAGTATAATGTGATCCTTTATTGACAACGTTTCACCCACACAATGGGCTTTTTCAAGTCACACACAGTTTCTGTGTGTGACTTGAAAAAGCCCACTGTGTGGGTGAAACGTTGTCAATAAAGGATCACATTATACTGCATGTGTTTATATTTCTACTGTGTCGGTATTTGATACCATTTATTTCTACTTAATATACTCTGGGGCTACCTGGTACGACCACATAATATACTCTGGGGCTATCTGGTATGACCACATAATATACTCTGGGGCTATCTGGTATGACCACATAATATACTCTGGGGCTGCCTGTATGATCACATAATATACTCTGGGGCTGCCTGGTATGACCACATTACATACTCTGGGGCTACTTGGTATGACCCCGTAATATACTCTGGTGGTGTCTGGTATGACCACGTAATATACTCTGGGGCTGCTTGGTATGATCACATAATATACTCTGGGGCTGCCTTGTATGGCCACATAATATACTCTGGGTCTACATGGTATGACCACATAATATACTCTGGGGCTGCCTGGTATGACCACACAATATACTCTGGGGCTGGAAATATAAACACATATACAGTATACTGTGATCCTTTATTGACAACGTTTCACCCACACAGTGGGCTTTTTCAAGCCACACACTGATCTACCTGGGGTGGAAGGTACGGGAGTATTTATAGTCATGTTCAGAATGTTGAGGTCAGGTGGAGAATGCTGCATCTGATGATCTACCGGGTGTGGTTATAGAGTCTTGGGTAGCTTGGCAGGGGTATTGGACAAGTTGTGAGTAGACCTTCTGCAGTGTTCTATGTTCTTATGTGGGATAGCGATGAAGAAATTTCTTGGCGAGTGGTTCAGCTATGTTATAGAAGCCGTTGCTCTGGTTGAAATTGTTGGTTATAGAGATAAGCGATGATTCCAGGATTCTTCGGTATTTAGTGTTGTCTTCTGTGGCGATAAGTCTTGATTTCTGTAGTTAATTTAAATGGTTGGTGTGAATTGCGAATGTTGTACACAGTAATCTTTGTATCGTCAGGATACAAAAGAATTACAGGGAATCCTGATATACAACATCGCAATTCACACACCATTTAATTAACTACAGAAATCCAGACTTATCCGCCACAGAAGAAACCACTAAATACCGAATAAACCGAATCAACGCTTATCTCTAAAACCCAACAATTTCAACCAAGCAACGGCTTCTATAACATAGCTGAACCACTCGCCAAAAATTTTCTTCCTCGCTATTACCACATAAGAACATAGAACACTGCAGAATGTTCTACTGCACAACTAGTCCAATACCCCCTGCCAAGCTACCCAAGACTCTATAACCACACCCGGTAGATTCATCAATGCCAGCATTCTCCACCTGTACCTCAAACAATCTGAAACATGACTAAAATTAACTCCCGTACCTTCCACCCCAGGTAGATCATGTGTGCTTGAAAAAGCCCACTGTGTGGGTGAAACGTTAGTCAATAAAGGATCACAGTAAACCTGCATATGTGTTTAATTTCCACTGTGTACGGTATTTAATAACCATTTATTTCCCAATACTCTGGGGCTTGCCCTGGTATGAACCACATTATATACTCTGTGGCTAACCTGGTATGACCACGTAATATTACTAGGTGGCTGCCTGGTAAGACCACATAATACTCTGTGGCTCACCTGGTATGAACCACATAATATACTCATGGGCTACCTGTATACCATATAACTTACTTGTGGGGCTGCCTTATGACTACTCTAATATACTCTGGGGCCTGCCTGGTATGACCCACTTAAAATACTCTGGGGCTGCCTGTGACAACTTAATATACTCTGGGGCTGCCTGGTATGACCACTTAATATACTCTCGGGGCAGCCTGAGGTAAGAACCTCTTAATATACTCTGGGGCTGCCTGGTATACCAACTTAATTACTCTGGGCTTTGCCCTGGTATGAACCACTTAATATACTCAGGGGCTGCCTGGTATGACCACACTTAATATACTCTGGGGCCTGCTGGTAATGACCACATAATTTAATACTCTGTGTGGCTGCCAGGTGCGACCGCACATATACTCTGGGGCTGCCTGGTAATGACCACTTAATATACTCTCTGGGGGCTACCTGGTATGACCACATAATATACGCTTGGGCCTGGCCCTGTACGACCGTGCCACAAAATCCTCTGGGGCTGCCTGTATGATCACATAATAAACTCTGAGGCTGCCAGGTATGACCACTAATATATCTCTGGGGCTTGTCCTGTAAATGACACCACTTAATATACTCTGGGGCGCCTGGTATGAACCAACTTAATATACCTGGGGCTTCCTGTAATGACCACTTAATATAACTCTGGGTCTGCCCTGGATTGACCACAAAATATACTCTGGGTTGCTGCCTTGGTAGGACCACTTAATAAACTCTGGGGCTGCCTGGTACCGACCGCACAATATACTCTGGGCTGCCTGGTATGACCACTTAATATACTCCTGTGGCTGCTGGTATGACCACTTAATAATACTCGGGGCTGCCTGTGTGGAGAACCAAAAAATAGGGTACCATGTGTCTGGGGCCGAGAGTTACGACCGCACATATACTTCTGAGGGCTGCCTGGTGGAGCGACCGCACAATAACTACTGGGGCGCCTGGTATGACCACTTAATATACTCTGGGGCTGCCTGGAATGACCACATAATATACTCCTGGGGCTGCCTGTAATAGACACATAATATACTCTGGGGCTGCCTGTAATGAAACCACATAATATACTCTGGGGCTGCCTGGAATGACCACTTAATATACTCAGGGGCTGTCCTGTAAGACCACTTAATATACTCAGGGGCTGCCTGGGATATGAAACACATCAAATACTCTGGGCTGCCTGGAATGACCACGAAATAAATACTCTGGGGCTGCCTGGTATGTGACCACATAATATACTCTGATATCTCTTGGGGCTGCCTGTAATGACCGCTGAAAAATACTCTGGTGCTGCCTTGTATGAACCACTTAATATACACTCTGGGCTGCCCTGGTACGACGTCACAAATATACTCATTGCTGCCTGGAACGACCGCACTACTACTCTGGGGCTGCCTGGTACAGAACCGTCCACAATATACTCTGGGGCTGCCTGGTATGACCACTTAATTACTCTGGGGCGCTGCTGGTATGACCACATAATATACTGCTGGTGGGCTGCCTGTAATGAAGACATAATATTCTCTGGGTCTACTACCTGGCATATCACGTAAAATATAACTCTGGGGCTGCCTGTGTAATCGAACCAGACATAATAATACTCTGGGCAGCCCTGGTATGACCACATAATAAACTCAGGGGCAGCCTTTGTATTGACCACATAATATACTCTGGGGCTGCCTGGTATGACCCATAATATCTCTGGGCTGCCTGGTATTACCACATAATATACCCTGGGCAGCCTGGTATGACCACATAATATACTCTGGTGCTGCCTGGGATGACCACATAATATACTCTGGGGCTGCTTGTATGACCACATAATATACTCTGGTGCTGCTGGTATGACCACATAATTATACTCTGGGGCTGCCTGAGTAAGACCACATAATATACTCTGGGGGCTGCCTGGTATGACGTCACATAATATACTCTGGTGGGACTAGCCTGTATGACCACATAAAAATACACTGGGGACTGCCTGTTATGACCACTTAATATACTCTGGGCTGCCTGGAATGACCCTTAATATGCTTGCTAAGTTACATGATATTTAAACATGTATTTATTGTACAGTTATAACGTTTACAAATGGTCATATATATTTTGTGGCAGATAGTATATGAATGTTTTGGCTGTGTGTGGTTCACTGTGTCGCGGCCACACCCAGGGAAGGAATCAATGATATGAAACAGGTTGCTAAACCAGGTCAGCTCTCGTCCTATTACCTGTTGAAATCATTGAAATATGTTATGAGATGATCCTCTTTACGTAAAAATTATGTTTGCCTTTTATTAGCAAATCATAGATAAGGATATTGTGTTTCGTAATGAGATAAAATTAGATAAAAAATTTCAATGTCATACACTGGAAGCAACTAATTATTGAAAAGTAAGACACATGTCCAACACTTTAAATATTCTGCCTTTCCCTTTTCCGGGGGGTTTGGGGGTATCCCAAAATATCTTGGGCTCCGGGTTCATAATTTTTTTTTACCCATTCCAAAATATACTCGGGGCCCTTTTATACCAAAAATTCTCCCCCCTTTACCAAAAATCTGGGGCCCTTTTTCCCCCTTTTCTCTCGGGGTATCCCATTATCTCTCTTTTTTCCCAAAATTTTCCCTTTTCCCTTATACCCCTTTATTTTTTGGGGGGATGCCCCCTTTCTGGGGGGCTCTTACCCAAAATTACTCCTTTATCCACAAAAATTTGGGGGGGTAAACCACTAATTCCTTCTGGTTCCACTTAAAAACTTTTTTCTCCTTTCCCTAAATAACTCTCCTGAACCCCTTTAAATTTACTTCCCCCAAACCCTTAAATATTTTTTAGCTTTTTTTTTTCCCCCTTTTTTTGGTTTTTTTTTTTTTTTTTTCCCCCCCCCCCCAAAAAAAAAGGGGGGGCCTGGGGGGCCTTTTTTTTTTTCCCCCCTTTTTGGGGGGTTTTAAAAAAAAAGTTTTTTTAAAAAAACCCCCCGGCCCCCCGGGGGAAACCCCCAAAAAAAGGGGGGGAAAAATTCCCCCTTTTCCCCCCTTAAACCCCCAAAAAAAAAAAAACCCCCCCCAAAAATTTTTTTTTTTTCCCATTTTTTTAAAAAACCCCCCCCCAAGGGAAAAAACCCCAAAAAACCCCCCCCCCCTTTTCCCCCAAACCCCCCCCCCCCCCTTTTTTTTCCCAAAAAAAAATTTTTTCCTTTAATTTTTTAAAAAAACCCCCCCCCCTTTTTCACCCCGGTTCCCGGGTTTTTTAAAAAAAATTTAAAAAACCCCCTTTTCCCTTTATTTTTTTAAAAATTTTTTTGGGGGGGGGGGGGAAGGGGGGGGGGGGGGTTTTTTTTCCCCAAAACCCCCGGGGGGGGGGGGGGTTTTTTTTTTTTTAAAAAAAGGGGGGGGAAAAAATTTTGGGGGGTTTTTTAAAATAAACCCAAAAACCCCCCCCTTTTTGGGGGGGGTTTTTTTTTTCCCCAAACCCCCTTTCCCGCTTTTTTTTCCCCCAAATTTTTAAAAAAAAAAAATTTTTTTTTTTGAAAGGAAATTTCCCAAAATTTTTTTTTTTCCCCCCCTTTTTTTTTTCCCCCAACCAAAACCCAAATTTTTCCAAAAAATTTTTTTTTAAAACCCCCCCCTTTTTTTAATTTTTTTTTTTTTAAACCCAAAAAGGGATTTTCCCCCCTTTTTTTTTTTTGGAAAAAACCCGGGTCCCCCAAAAAAAGGGGAAACCCCCAATTTTTTTTTTTTTTTGGGGTTTCCCCCCCCCCCCCTTTTCCCCCCTTTTTTTTTTAAACCCCCCGGGGAAAAATTTCCCCAAAAACCCCAAATCATTTTAAAAACCCCCCTTCTTTTTAAATTTTTTTCCTTTTTTAAAAACCCCCTTTTTTTTCCCCCCCCCCTTTTTTTTCCCCCCCCCCCCCCCCCGGGGAAGGCCCCCCCCAAAAAAAACCCCCTTTTTTAAAAAAAACCCCCCCCTTTTTTTTTCCCCCCCTTTTTTTTTTTCCCCCCCAAAAACCCCCAAAAATTTTATTTTTCCCCTTTTTCCCCCTTTTTAAAAAATTTCCCCCCCTTTTTTTTTTTCAAAATTTTTTTAAAAACCCCCCCTTTTCCCCCCCAAAAAAGGGTTTTTAAACCCCTTTTTCCCCCCCCCCCCCTTTTTTTTTTTTAAAAAAAAAAAACTTTCCCCCCCCCCTTTTTTTCCCCCCTTTTTTTTTCCCCCTTTTTTTTCCCCCCTTTTTTTCCCCTTTTTTACCCCCCCCTTTTTCCCCCCCTTTTTAAATTCCCCCTTTTTTTCCCCCCTTTTTTTTAAAAACCCCTTTCAAAAAAATTTTTTTTTCCCCCCCCCCTTTTTTTCCCCCTTTTTTTTTCCCCCCCTTTTTTGGCCTTTTTCCCTTTTTTAAAAGGGCCCCCAAAACTTTTTTTTTTTTTTTTTTAAAAAACCCAAAAATTTTCCCTTTTTTTTCCCGGGGGTTTTTTTTCCCCCTTTTTTTTAAAACCCCCCCTTTTTTTTTTTTTTAAAATTCCCCCTTTTTTTTCCCCCTTTTTTTTAAAAAAATTTTTTTTTTCCCCCCCCCCCCCCAAAAAAAAAAAAGGCAAAATTTCCCCCAAAAAAACCCCCCAATTTTAAAATTTTTGCCCTTTTTTTCCCCCAAAAAAAAAATTTTTTCCCCCGGGCCTTTTTTTAAAAATTTCCCCCTTTTTTCCCCGGGTTTTTTTTTTTTAATTTTATCTTTTTTTTTGGGGGAAAACTTTTTTGGTTTTTTCCCCCTTAAAAAAAACCCCGGGGGGCCCCCCTTTTTTTAAAATTTAAAACCCCAAAACCCCCCCCCCCCCTTTTATAAAACCCTTTTTCCTTTTTTTCCCCCCCCCTTTTTTTTGAAAAAAAATTTTCCCTTTCCCCTTTTTTTCCCAAAAATTAAAAAAAAAAATTTTTTAAAGCCCCCCCAATTTTTTTTTCCCCCTTTTCCCCTTACTTCCCCCCCCCCCTTTTTTAAACCCCCCAAAAAAAATTTTTTCCCCCAAAATTTTTCTTTTTTTTTAAAAAAAAAATTTTTTTGGGGTTTTTTTCCCTTTTGTTTTTTAATTTTTTCCCCCGGGGGGAAAAATTTAACCCCCCCTTTTTAATTTTTCCGGTTTCCCCCCCCTTTTTAAAAATTTTTTTTTAAAATTTCCCCCTTTTTTAACCCCCGGGGGTTTTTTTCCCAAAAAAAACCCCCCCCCCCAAAAAAAATTTTTGGGGTTTTTTTCCCCCCCTTTTGGGGGGGGGCCCCTTTTTGGGTTTTTAAAAATTTTTTTTTTTAAATTTAAAAAAAAAAAAAAAAAAAATTTTTTAAAATTAAAAAATTTTTTTTGGGGGTTTTTAAATTTTAAAAAGAAAAACCAAAAAAATTTTTTTCCAAAAAGGGGGGGGGCCCCCCCTTTGCTTGCCATCTGTGGGTCAGTGGTTCCTAGATATGTAGGGAATTTTTAAACCCGTGACCACAAATTGACATAAACTCAGAGAGAGTTTTGGGTCTGCCCAAAAGATACAACTGTATAGGGAAAAGACACCCCCGTTAAAAGATAAGAACACCAAAAAACATCCTTTTTTGAAAGCATGTCAGCAAAAGTATGACAGCTGGGAAAATTCGATGGGTGGAAAGGGTTTGGGGGTTCTTGGAACAGTTTCTCCTGAGGGGCTAGTGTTGTCCGGGGGACAGTGCTCCAGAGGGGTTTTAGTGATTTCCCGGAAGAACAATTCTTGTGGGGTTACTAGTTTCGTTCTGGAGGAAGTTTAAGACAAATTTTTTTTTCCTCCAAGAGGTTCCCAAAAAGAGATTTCGGGTTTGGGGATGGACCAAAAGTGGGTGATGCCTTTAGGGAATAAAAAGTGTCGACACCCTACCAGCAAAACCCGGGGGAAACACTGAAAAGCCTTACAAGGGTGAAAAATAAGGGAAAAAAAAGGAAAAAAAAATGCACCCCAGCGATTGCAGCTAAAAAAATCCTAGGAAAATGAAATTTTCCCAAACTATGTAAAAAGTTTTTTTTCTTTCAGGCACCCCAGGAGGGAGGGCCCGATGAAAATTCCGCCACAACGAACTAAAAAATCTCTACACCCAAAAAACACCTTAATTTAGCAAATAGTAAAAGGGCCACGATAGAAAAACCGGTAATTTTTAAACCAAAATCAAAGACAAAATTAACCCCTTTAAAAAAATCCCCCAAAAAAAAAGGTACAGACATGTATGCACGGGTCCCTACCAGAAAAAAGTGGGGCGTCATGAAGGGTCCTTCAAATTTTAAAAAACAAAAACAAAAAAATTGGGGTCAAGTAAAAACCCTGTTTCCCAAATGAAACAAACTGGGAAGATAACCTAAAAAAACACGGACCCCCAACATCTGCCTTTTAAAAAATGAATTCGGGGGTTTTGAGATTTGCTCAAGACACAATTCCCTTAAGAAAAAGAAAGAAAAAGATTTTATTAGAAAAGAGAGACGTTCCCATACAGACAAAGGGAAAAAAGTCCCCAAAAGGCTGAGTGGGGGTTAAAAATTTCTCAAAAACAAAGGGAGGACAAAATCAAGAAATTGGAAAAACCGAACTTAACGAAAAGGAAAACCCTTTCAGGAGACCAAAAAAAACAAGAAGGAAATAAAGGCCCTTTAAAGGGAAATTTAAAAAAAAAAAACTTCTTTCTTTACCAAATCTAAGGGGAAAAAAAAAACATCCCTTTTGTCCCCCGCTTAGGGGGGATGGGACTTTCACAGATGTAGCCAAAAAATGAGTGTTCAGCTATCCACGCCCCCTCTAAAAGGGGGGACAATCCCAAAAAAAAATTCTTTATGAACGAAACCCAAAATTTGGGGCATCCCAAAAATTTGAATATTATTCTTACTCCAAAAGACTTAGAAGAGGCAATTAAAGAAGCCCACACTCCCGCCTCAGGCCCAGACCTGGGAAATCCGTGTTTTAACAAGTTTGCAAGAAACCCCTATAAGTGCTTTTTAGCATTTTTTTGGAGAGGGAACATGGACCTTGGGGGCATCCGCCACACTAAAAACAACAGGGCCCTAGCCCCACTCCACAAAAAGTGGCATAAAAACAATTGCCCAAAAAACTACCCACCCATAGGGACAACATCCCAATAATAAAAATCTTTGAAAAAGGGGGTTAAGAAAACAAAATAGCCAATACCTAGATTTCTCATCAGGTTTTCACAACCCGGGCAACACGGCT